ACCCGGCGGCTCGGAACGGCTCGGATTCACCGGTGAGCCTCAACAGCGGACGCTTGGAATCTCGAAAGGGTTACGAGTGATGCAAGTTGCAGCCCTATCTTTTGACACAGCAGTCCGGATAAAACACACTGAAGGATCTGACCGAGCGGGATGAACCGAAGCGTCATTTTTTGGGGGATCGAACCCAGTCAATCACCCGAGCAGGAGCCGACCTGAGAAATGAGACAGGCCACTAGGAGACGACTCAGACAACACCTCCCGAACGTTTCTCGCCAAGACAGCACTTGCAGCGATGCCACATTACACATTTCGACGTGTGCGGTCGCCAAGGGCAAACCAGGAGGCGTGGAAGAGGAAACGAGCGCAACGCCGTTGGATTGAGAAACCCAAAAAAGAAGCAGATTGAAATTCCGAGGCTCTTTGCCCGCCGGCACGAGTTGCGAGTTTGACACGGTTGAAGATTTTGAATATGGCGAGCTGGAGGCACGGCGACGGAGAGAATCGTTTTTTTGTAATTGAGCACAAAGGGACGGGGCCACTCAGGCATTTATGACGCTGACTTTCCCGAGACTCGCGATCCACTGTGCTAGCCTTGCTAGCGCTTCTACTCAAACTCCAGGACCTCCAAACTCCTGAGTCGTAAGGACGAGACGGCACGTTAAGTGGCGACCTTCATCCGAAAGGTCCCGAGCCCGAACGTCAACTCCTGCGTCGACGTCGGCGTACGTACATACCCTTGTTTTAGGCGACACTTGGGCCACTCCTCCTGGCACACCAGAATGGAAAAGATAATTTCGTTGCACGAATGTGTAATGACAATAAAGCAATCCAATATTGTCCAAAAGCTGCCGAAGCCGATCTCCTGCCGACGGTTGACGACGGCGATGGGAGCACCCACGCCGAATGTGCCGTTTATGGACCCCGTGAAGTGTATTATGGGATGATGTCACCTACGCCCGATCGTCTGGGCGAGGGTCACGTCACATATGTGCCAATTCACGTTTTGGGGCACGTTGACGTGTCACGTGTACGTACCAATGTAGGAAACTGAGCTGTTGGGTGTTTTCCAGGTGGAAAGACAGTCCCCACGTTGAGGATGTGGCCGCGAAAGATGAAAATGCAAAGGCTGCTTGTCAACTCTGGTCTGTAGACGGTGTTATCACTCCTAAAAGAAAAACAAAAATGTTCATAAAATTTGGAGTGGCAGTACAGTACACAGAAGCAGCAGGTTGTGTGAAGAGGTCACTGAATTTTGTACAGTGATCTTTCGCTATTTTGCGGTTCGTTTATCGTGGCTTCGGTGCATCATGGATTTTTCCAAACATATTCATTAAAAAATAAATGAAATAAAATTAAGTCCAGAAAAAGTCTGCAAACAACAGCGAGTAACATAGAGCAACATATACAGTACTACATGTATATGTTTACTGTATTTTATTATTCATACTCTAATCTAACCTAACTTATACATGTTTAAATCTATTAGTACACAGCATTAAGTAATGTTAATTACTACAAAATTGACCTCTAAATGCATGTACAGACGCTCTCCAGGTAACGAACGAGATACGTTCCGAAGGCTCGTTCGCTGGCTGAATTCGTACGTAAGTTGCTTCAGTGCTATATTTTGTATGGAATGTATGTTTAAGGCTTATATAAGTATGTTTAAGGCTTATATAAGTGTAATAAAATGAAGTTTAACATACTTTTGGAAGATGTACTCGAAGGCTTAAGGAGATGATGGAGGGGGAGAGAGTTCCATCTCGAACTTCTTCATGGGGACAAGCGTTTCCTCCTCCTCCTCTCACAGCGCCTCACGTCGGTATTAGCGGCGGAAAGAAGTACTACAGTACTCGGAAAAAGGCGCGCAATACAAAATCTGACTGACAGCATCTCTGTCCGAGAACATTTTTCGACATACCTGTACCCGCAAAAATGTTCGTATGTACCGTTGTTCGCAACACGAAAGTTCGTAAAGCGGGGAGCGCCTGTATACCATTAAATTTGGCCTTAGAAATATTTTTTATACTCACACACATGTACATGTACCTATACGGGGGGCGGTCGCTACTTCGCTGATTTTCGTTTATCGCGGGTGGTTTCGGTCCCCATGAACCGTGACAGACGAAGGATTACTGTACTTAATTGGCATTGACAAAAAAAATGTAAAGGTCATGAAAACTGGTTGACAAACGAGAATCGCAGATTATTCCAGTAAATCCTAAAATTTGTGAAAGTAAACATAGAACCACCACCAACACAAAAAGATCAAATAAGACGATAAAGAGATATGGGGATGTGCGCAACGATGCAATGCGGGAAAAGGTGTGGATCCAGCAGAATTAAGTGCAAGAAATTTGATTTCACACAATATAGAAGGTCATTTTGTACTCAAGACTAGTTTTTGAAATGAATGAATAATCGTTTGTGTTAATCAAGATGATCTTCACCATAATCGCCCCGCCCTCACATGCAACCCGCGTTGTTTCCCACCCAACATAACGAGCACCACCAGTCGGCATGACGCAGTTGTCATGCTCCGCGTACCGAATGTTGCGACCGTGGCTCTGCATTCAAGACATTTTAGCACCGCCGTGTGGTGACAACTTTCTTTGCAGCAAAACTGCCCGAGTACTGTACTTCCAAAGTGATGAGTTCGAGTCAACTTGCCCTGGCTTCTTCCTCACTCTTCAATTGAGCCGATGTCAGCATTCTCGGGATAAAAAGTATCAACTAACCAGGCGCTTTTTTCGACAGGGTCAGCGGGAAGAGGGGGCGCTGACCTTCAAATGAAACATCTCCTCTTGTACGGCGCGCAGTCACGCCGAACGTGAAGCGCTCAGGAAGGTCGACGTCATGAGAGCTCGACGCGGCGGGAAATTATGACGCGCTACGTTCATGTTTTCAATGTCTCTTGATTTTTTGTCTCTTGAGGAGCCGTTGAAGCAGTGAATGAGCGCGTCCCCCAGGGGGTGCTCGTCCTACCGTTGTCAGTCTCTGTAGAGCTCTGTAAATTAAATCATTGCTGTCCTTCACAAATGTGACGGGTGGGATTAAATGGGTTAATTGGTTGCACACGTTCAAACTCACAGACGCTACAGTGTAGAAGGGGAGGATGGTAAAAGTGATCAAAATTCGCTTTCGGAGTTGTCAGAATTGGTTATCCGCAGGACCGAATCGGGGAACAGTCCTGGTCAACTTCCCTAACGGGCCCGAACCCCCGTTTACGGCTCGCCCCCTCCTTGCGGTAATGCGGGACGGCTGGGGAGACGGAGGTTCTTTTTTTTTCATACGAGTCAATGACGAAAGAGATGCGGCTAGGTTCCTAACCGCCTTTTTTTTCACGAAGCCAACCAGAATCCGCCTTCGCTTATTTTTAACTCTAATCAGTAACCGAGCATTAGAGGATAATAAGTGACCGCTTCACTTTAACGACGGCTCTTTCGATTTTTTACTTCTGGTGCAATTGGCATGTAGACCTAGTATTCATTTAACAATCCCGGTCGGGATCGTTCAGATGTGTTATTCAAGACGCCGGAGTAAACTATTTTGCTTAACTCTTCATTTTTCCAGACGGATCACGCGGCCCGCTGTCAGCGAGCGCACAACCTTTCATTCATCGATGAAGGCTGAGTGGTGATAAGAATTAAATCATAAAAACTACAGAGGTAGACGATAATGAATTTTGACACATTTATTAATATGACAATTCTCGTAAAACATGCATTAATCCACCATTGTAACCGCAAGCCGAGGAATACTATGGTCAACAACAAAAGCATTGTTAGAATGGTATTTTTCAACTTCAAATCAAATGAGAATAATGTCACAGCACACAGGGATTATAATAATGATAAAAGGAGTAAGGCAAAAAAAACGAATAAATAAAGTAAAAATGATTACAAGAATAAAAATGAATGAAATAACCACCTGTCTATTGTCATTGAGGGTGTCAAGATTGATCAAGTCTTAGGTGCCCCGTGATTCAACTTATTAATTTTTATCATAATATTTTAGTACCATTTCTATACTTCCTATTTTTACATTATCTGGCCAACAATTTTGGGTTCGAGACGTTTAATACATACGATTGGCTCGTTTCTTCCGACACGCAATAGTAGTATATTGTCTATGTCTCCTTACAGATACAACTTCCGGTTTATCTTTGGCGCTTTAACTCGCAATCTTTCCTCAAATCAATGATAGACTTAACGCACATACTTGAATTAAAGTCACATATCAAAATCGCATCTATGCAGCTTAAAAAGGATATCATGTTTACACAATTCCTGTTGATTCATTTTCTCCCATGCAATCAACAGGTTTTTGATCTTGTCTGGTTCTTCACCAGGAGGCATCATTTTGGAGTAAATAACGTTCTCTGGCAACAATGTTTACACCAAGCAGTTTCAAAGCATTTGTTAACATAGCACACAACTAGTCTAAATTAAATGAATAATACCATGTTATTTCGTGACAACATTCCAAAAGAAAAGAAAAATAATCATAAAACAACAGTTAACAGTAAATTCTGTAAAACTGTATGATCCAGTTGCAATGCACTACAATATTTACTCGGTAAATGGACCTGTTGCGAGCTGGTGAGAGCTCAGTGGACAATTTGTTCTGACGTCATCTAGTTGTCAAATTGGATAATACATCCTTGGGCTGAATTGGGAGTCTACTTTTGAGGTCAATTGCATATTTAACGTTTATCAATTGTACCGTGAAATGGCGCGCCTTCCTACAGAGTAAATACGTGTCAGCAACATGACAGAAGCACTTTTTTTTTTTCATTCAGCTTTTGGAATGATCTCATGGTTACTGTTGTTAAGGGTCAACGGTGATGTCAGGATCCGGTACGGGGCTGTCAGTGCCCTCTTGTACCGGAGGAGGGTCTTCATGCCGAAGTTTCTGCGAGAGAAGACAAGAGACGACACGAGCTCACAAAATTCGCCGTTTGGAGAGACAAATATACAGTAAATGAATAAATATCGATGAAAACACTCTCTCCATTGTTTGTGTTGATTCAGAAGCAGTTTTACGTCTATTTACTTTATCCTCTTACATTCACAACGCGGCATATCGCTCCACTGCGCGGCCGACGTGCACGTCACACTTTCCGGCCCCTTCATCTGATAGCCAATGTCGCAGCGGAAAGTGCAGTTGTTCTCATAGCTGAACCTCGTAGCCGGATCATCTCCACAGCTGACTGCGCCGTTGGGTAAGGGGGGAGGAGCAGAGCACTGAACGGCTGCAGAGCAAGAGAAAAAGAACAACAGGCAGTAAGTTCGCTTTCGTTGCACTGAACCACTAAACAAACGAAGCACGTCAACACAATTGGTCATCCATTGTATATTTGCGTTGAATCGTTTTGCTCCATCTGGTCCACTTTCACACCTTTGCATGTTGGGGGTGCGATGGTCCAATTGCCGGAGTCCGTGCACGCCATGCTGACCACACCTTGGGGTACGTAGCCTTCCTGGCAGCTGAACGTGCAGACTGAATTGCGAGGAAAGGGGCTCTGGGACGGGAGGAGAGATGGGGTGCAGTTCATGTGGCCATTTTTGGGATCTTCGGGGGCGGGGCATGTGATTTCTACAGGAAGTGAAGTGAAGAAGGCATATTAGGAAAAAAATGCGATTTTTATAACAGTTACGTGTACAAAAATAAATGAATAAATATCGATGAAAACACTCTCTCCATTGTTTGTATTGATTCAGAAGCAGTTTTAAGTTTATTTACTTTATCTTCTTACCTTCACAACGCGGCATATCGCTCCACTGCGCGGCCGACGTGCACATCACACTTTTCGGCCCCTTCATCCGATAGCCGATTTTGCAGCGGAAACTGCAGTTTTTCTCGTAGCTGAACCTCGTAGCTGGATCGTCTCCATAGCTGACTGCGCCGTTGTGTAAGTTGGGAGGAGCAGGGCACTGAACGGCTGCAGAGCAAGAGAAAAAGTACAACAGGAAATAAAGTTCGCTTTTGTCGCACTGAACCACTGAAACGACGCACGTCAACACAATTGGTCATCCATTGCATATTTGCGCTGAATCGTTTCGCTCCATCTGGTCCACTTTCACACCTTCGCATGTTGGTGGTGCGACGGTCCAATTGCCGGAGTCCGTGCACGCCATGCTGACCACACCTTGGAGCACGTAGCCTTCCTGGCAGCTGAATGTGCAGACTGAATTGTGAGGAAAGCGGCTCCGAGACGAGAGGAGAGATGGGGTGCAGTTCACGTGGCCATTTTTGGGAGCTTCGGGGGCGGGGCATGTAATTTCTACAGGAAGGGAAGTGAAGAAGGCATATTAGGAAAAAAAAAAGGGATTTTTGTAACAGTTACATGTACAAATATAAATGAATAAATACAGATAACATCCTCTCCGTTATTTGTTAAGTATATATATATATATACATATACACACACATTATATATATATATACACACACACACATATATATACACACACATATACACACACACACACACACACACACATATATATACACACACACACACACACAGAACTATATATTGTGAGCCCTGATACTAATAATGCTCCTCTAGGGCGCCTTCCCAGCGACTGTCAACTTGGTTCTGGTGTTGCGTCCCACCACTTTGCTGCAGCGGGCACTGTCAGACTTCCTCTTCAAGTTCAACAAGGATGAGTTCAAAATGAAGGTGGGGCTGACCTCCTTGTTATTGTCATTCCCGGGACTTCCTGTCTCGTAATTGGATCAATTTGTCTGCTGTGCTTGACTCTGCTCTGCTTCTTATGCGTCCTTGCAGGTGGTCATGCTGAGTTCGGTGACCGAGCTCCATGCCTACATCGACCCCGGACAACTAACAACGGAATTGGGGGGCACACAAGAATACTGCCATGAAAGCTGGATTTCCCACCGCACTGTATGCACGCACGCACACACGCTCCTCAGGGTCACCATCTTTTGGAAACACATTGTTCTTTTTTTAGGCACCAATGGATCTGTCTGTCTCTGTTTCTGCATTTCCGATGCAGGCAATTGAAGCGTTTGCTCTGATGGTGAAGACGACGGCTCACACTCTGCAGGCCTTTGGCACCGAGCTTGCAGAAACAGAAATGCCCAATGATGCTGAGGCCACCACCAGCCTGCTGGACTTGCATTCTCAAAAAAAAGACAAAATGAAGGTCTCTTTCTCACTCTCTGTCATGGGTAGAGTTTCTCATAATTACTTTGAAAGAAAAAGAAAAGTATCTGCACTAATTTGGATTTGCACTTTGCTGGTCATTTTTTTCCAAAAAGTGAATTTTTGGATGCTACTATTTGTCATTATCATGTGGTTGATGTACTCAGAGGAAATTTCTCATCTCTTCAAAACTTTCTTTTCCAGGAGGACCTACAGGTGTCGCAATCTCAGGGCGCGCGTCTATTGGAGTGCATCAACGAGCCTTTTCGGACTGACGCGGAATACCTAATGACCCATGATGAGCTGGAAAACCTCGCCACTGTGCAGCGGTAAGAGTAACTTGACTGTGTGTGATGTTGGACTTGTTTATTCTCTTGTCTGCCGTGTTTCTCATCCCACCCTCAGACTCCTGGGTCAGCTGGACGAGACCGAGACAGCATTTGACGATTTCTGGGAACGCCATCGCTCCAAGCTGGAACAGTGTTTGCAACTTCGAAGTTTTGAGCAGCACTTCCGTGAAGTGAGTTGAGAAAATTTCCAGCCTGTGCTAGGCAACAAAATGTTCTCTGCAACCATGCTTTGATGATGTGATATCGCTCACAGGTGCGCTGCCAACTTGATGCCACGTCGGAACGGTTGTGCGGTTTCTCAGAGGTCAGCGTAAATCCTGTCCATGCCGAGCACGTCCTCCGTGAGCTCAGCAGTCATGAGGAAAAGGCCTGTGTAAGAACACACACACACACACACACACACACACACGCGGGCAGCTGAAAATCGACCCTAACATGCTCCAGAAATCCACTTTTAGAAACAACCTGCTGGCCCTTTGCAGCTTTCTGAATGAAGAGATGAATAAAGAGGAATGTGAAATTAAATGACTGTCGGTATTGAGTGGAAGCCATACTTGGTTCTGGCTTTCAGTATCAAGCTTACTGTTCAGTTCGACAAGCAAGTTACAACAAACACAATAGTTGAGGGGTTTAGAATCTTCACATATTGAACACTCAATAGAAATTTTGTACATGGTTAAATGCCACCCATTTTAAAAAATTATTTTATCTGTACCTCATAAGGTTTGCATGTGTGCGGGATCCTATCCTTGCTGACTTTTGGCGGGATATGGGTAGAATGCGCTGGACTGGTCACCAGTCAATTGCAGGTTACTGTATTTTCACGACCAAATGTTCGATTTTCATTTCTTCTGCAAGCGTTACTGCCCCCAGTCGAATGGTAACGGTAGAGACGCTTCTCCCAGCTGTTTGTTGATTATTAATTCATCACTCGAGTTGGTCTTCAAACTCGGGCCACCTTGCCTTGTTTCCACGGAAACTCAGCTTCGTCTTCTTGACTTGGCGAAGCTCGTTTTCTTACTTCCTCCACTTGCAAACTATGGATTCATTGATCTTTAAATTCTCCCGCGGCTGCTTGATTGCCATGTTCTTCTGCGTAACTCATCGCTTGCAGTTTAAAATGTGCTTCATCGGCGTGTCTCTTCATTGGTGCCGTTTTCGGGGGTCCTTAGCTAAAGTGATGTTGTTTTGCACAAACGAAATCCCGGCACTATCTACACCACAGGTGTCAAACTCAAGGCCCGGGCCACATCATTTTATGTGGCCCCC